GGCCATTTTTTTCTCGCGGTTTTCTTTCGCGTCACGCACGACGGACTAAGCGAAAGAGGGACTACTCGTAGTCTAAAAAACATATACCTATCTCATGATTTTGGGCTTTTTTAGAAATTAGAACATTAGGAAAAGTGCTTATGTAATTGCTTGTTTGTTCAGTTCAGATAATCAGTCGCTTAGGTGTCCAAAGTAAGATTCAGATGTTTACACTATTTTCGGGCGACCATGTTCGCGTACAACGGCGGTACACCAACATGGCGGCTTCGCACTGGGCTCTGTAAATTTGTGCAAATATTTCGACGAATATCTGAAGTTTAGGAAAACGCACAGACCGAAAACGTGGAGAAGTGTCTTGTTTTTTATCTCCTATAGCAGACCAATTTCTTGTCTTTATCAAATGAATGGTTTTCGAAGCCAATACGAGAGGGTCTCCCAGATGTTTTTGGGAACAATGGAACATGGTCAATTTCAGTTGGGGAATAGCGGGGAAACAAGGGCAAAAAAACATAAACGAGGGAATTAAAGGGCAAGAGTAAAACAAGGAGCAAGTACGGATAATTGCGGACACAAGGGAACAGCAAGTAAATTTGAGGGGAATAAGGACCTCTGTGTGCTTATAATGCCGGCATAACGGTCGACATTCATCTAAGGTCATTACCGGGTGCAAAAATACTTTAGCTGTTCTTGTTATATTGCGGCTAGATGCCGCCAAATTCAAAAGCGTGACTTATTCTACTTGAGAATGTGTCAGAAAAGCAAACATTCCGACGAATGAGAGACAAATTAAGAGCTGCCGTGTGTGACATGAAAGGTCAAAAGGTCACCCGTATTGCTCAAGTGATCCGTTTGAAAATATTCTCAGAATTCACCATTTTATTTACCCCAATTTATTTTGCGCCCGATGTCTAGTTGAAATGATTGTTCTTCCCCGGAGCATAGTCTCGTTGGGCGAAGCCACGTACCAATGTGCCTTTTTGAAGTTTGCTGACTTACTGATCTAATACGTTAGGCTCCTAGTGGAGCAATGGGCGGCAACAATGTTCCGCCAGCGGACTCTACAGTTTGGTGCCATCTGCTCGGCTGTGTTCCAGGTGATTTTGGTCATCTTCATCTCTTCTTCAGTCGACCCTCTACATGTCTTCCTTTTTCCCTCCGGCTTCCACTTCAAGGCCTGCTTAGTCATGTCAGTAGGGAGTTCACGAAACCTCGACAGCGACGCCGAGGACAACGTCGATTAAAAAATGAATTTGTATTTTACCTACGAATCTCGCGATACTCTAAAGTCATTTAATTTGTTTATCACTATCGTGGTTTACGTTCTCCAGACTACGCAAAATTTGGTCATTTCACGTTGTTAGGGAGCTTAAGCAAACCACCACCACGACGGCAACGAGAACGTCACCAAACAAAAGGTTTAATGAGCAAAACAATAGCTGTGCACGTGCGTTATAAATCTTTGTACATTTCTTTGCCGTCCTCTGCAAAATAACAACGTGAAATAACCTAGTTCTGCGTCGTCTACTGAACATGGATGACGACGACGGCAAAGTTTTCGTTTTTGCATTTAGAATTGAACGCTGTAATTGCATTTTCAGTCTGAGCACGTTTTTAGAGCCGTTGGGGTACCAAACAGATCTAGACAATCGAGAATTTAAATGGTAAAATATAAATTCATTTTTTGACTAGACGTCGTCCTCGTTGCTTAAGATCCCTGTTGCATGTCTTGCAGAAGACGGCAAAGAATGTACCAAGAATTATAACGCACGTGCACAGCCATTGTTCTACTCATTAAACCTTTTGTTCAGTGACGTTCCCGTTGCCGTCATGGTTTCGTAAACTCCCTAATGACTTGTTTTCGAAGCGTGTGGCCTATCCAAGACCATTTCCGTCTTACTATCTGCCCTTATCCTGCCCAGTTTCAAAGTTCTTTGTTGGTAATTTTTTCCCGCCAATGTATCTTGAGGATCTTTCTGAGACATTTGTTGCCAAAGCTTTGTAACTTGTTCGATAGAGCTTGTGTCACTTTCCAGGTCTCTCAACCATAGAGGAGCGTAGCTTTAACATTTGCAGTGAAGATGCGCAATTTGGTTTCGGTAGAAATCGATGAAGCATCCCAGACTGGTCTAAGCGTGTCCAAGGCCAGTCTGGCTTTGCCTAATCTGACCTTCACATCCTGCTCAGCTCCGCCGGTGATTGTGATGGCGCTACCCAGACACGAACACATTTTTACATCTTCCACATGTTTGCCGTTCAACTTGATTTTGTCCTGCTGCTTGTTACTTTGGTTTTCTCTTTGCTTACCCTGAGGCGAGCGGCTCTCTGCGATCAGTGCCAGGTTGGTGTCTTTGCTTGCATATGTTGCAGTTTCTGAGAAAGGAAGCATATATCATCTGCATAATCCAGGTCATGTAGCTGAGTTGTTAGTGTCCACTGTATACCTGTCGTACTCTTATCTTCCACCGCTCTCATGATCCAGTCGACAACCATAATAAAGATCATCGCGGACAGCAAGCAGCGTTGCCGGACTGTATTCATTTCGAAAGATTTACACAGTTTCCCACTGTGGATGACTTTACAACATGAGGGTTCATAAAGGTCCTGGATCAACTTAATGAACTTTGATGGAATTCCACAGTGGCGCATAACTTCCAGATGTCGTTCCTGTCAACGCTGTTGAAGGCCTTTTCGAAATAAATAAAGTTTATGTATAATGGTATTATGTGCAATTCATTGGACTGTTCGACGATTATCCTTAGGGTGGCAATATGGTCAGTGCAGGATTTTTCTTTCCTAAAGCCGGCTTGGTCACATCAGAGCTGTTTGTTAAGAGCATCCCTCCGTCTTTCGAGGTTAATGCGACAGAATACCTTGCTATGGATAGAGAGAAGCATGATTCCGCGCCAATTGTTGCGGAGCCCTTGGTCCCTCTTTATAGGCAACTTCATCCGATAACCGTGCTGCTCTGTGGAACTCTGTTGAGTGCCTCAGGCGGGATGTCATCTGGTTCTGGCGCCTTTGCATTCTTCAGTTGTTTCAGAGCTCTAACAATCTCTGTCTTAGACGGTGGTGGGTGCTGACATTTAGCTGGGGTCCCTCTGTGCTGTTGATGTCTAGGGCCGCACTGAAAATCGTTATGGCGAATTGGGTTTCCTCGTTAAATATTATTGTTATGATAACAATGGGGTAACAGGCCTACACAACTCCTATCCACGTGTTATAGCCGCTTTAAGGATCAGGGGCCTGTTTCTCGTAAACCCCGGGCCCGAAAAGCCATTTTTAGTTAGTCGATATTTAAAGACAGAGAGGGTACACACCTGAAACTTCTTGTACGGAATGGAACCTCTGTTTATATTAAGAATATGTGAAAAGAACAGCTCTGTAATCATAAGGTTTGAGATTTTGCTGCGGCTTTCCGAGTGCGAAAATTTTTCGGGACCTTCGAGAAACGGGCCCCTGGCCCTTTTGTTTGGCACGATAGAGGGATCATTGAATATTTCGCTAAGCAATAATCCTGTGTTTTTAGGATGATATTTCACCAGAGTAGAGCCGTTAGAGGACGGTCATAGGGCTGTGTGGTTTCCGTTGTTATCCGCGTGTGATTTGTGAGTTTGACACCTCTGTTTTTTTTTGCCACGTGCTAGTTTTTTCGCTCACCCTTCTGCCTAAGAGTTTATCGCATGTCTCTTGCCACGTCTTTCTCAGTTCTGCCCAATGAATGTCCAGGTCTTCATCTACAAATTCAAGGGCTAAGAACTAGTTCTTAACTGTGCAGTTGAACAACTTCGCTGCTTCGTTGCACTTTAGGTTTAAGTTGTTGTATTTGCAATGTGGCTTAGCAGATTAGTCACGATGGGCCCAAAATTTCACCTTAAAGGTCCTAGCAGGAGACGGTGGTCTGCCCCTCTCTTCACTCTCGCATCCATCAAGTTCGTCCTCCACTTCCTGGCAATCGTAATATATAGATTTAGGCCAGCCTAAAAGCGTAACTCTGGGCCGGGCTGTTCAGAGCCAAATTAAGCTAACCCAGGAAAAGGTAGAATTTTGATTTGAGTTTTGTAACTTTGCGTTGAGGTTTTCTGTATATTGTTTGGCCTTCTGTTTTTAGTTTTAATAATCACTATATACACAAAACAAAGCAGCAAAAAACATTTGTATGGAAGAAAAAGTTATAATTCGGTTAATTTTTAATCCTGGGTTAGCGTTAACCGGCTTCCGAACTATCCTGCCCTGTTTTCAGCAAGTTAACCTGAGATGAGCCCGCGATCCAATCGAAAACCAACACTGTAAACTGTAAACTTGAGCCTGCGATTTGGTCACGTGATACTATAATAATAATAATAATAATAATAATAATAATAATAATATATAGATTTAGGCCAGCCTAAAAGCGGAGCTCCTCAGTTATTTTTCGGA